GAACCGAATCAATTTTAGGAGCCATAGAACACATTTAGTATTTGCCAAGTCAACTCATCTATCTTTATATCGTATTATATTAACTTGACATTAGCTGAGAACCMTTTAATTCCTTTAGGAGTTAAAATTTAGTGATTCGAGTTCCACTTTTCAAGATGGCGGACACTTTGTTCTCCAAAAGTATTGATGCATGTATAGTACTTACTTGATGTTGTAATATTGTGAGTAGCGTTTGGACCCAATCCTGCAACCGTTGCAGCTGCTACACGAACTTCATACTGCGCACAACGTCTTAGATTGTGTAAAACAAATTGGTTTCCCTGTGCTGTTCCAGTGAAGGATTCTCGAACTGCCGTTCTTTTAGCTCTTCCTATGTGTCTTAAAATCCAAGAAATTTTGTACTTTGTTATGATGCCATTGGCCTCGTTCCTACGCAACGGTTTCCAGTTAATTATGAAGGTAGTTTCGTTTTTCTTTGTCGCTTTTATACCTTGTGGCGCTACATGTGGAGCTAAAATGAGAATATATTACCATAAAGTGATAATTTACCAGTAAATTATCACTTTTAATTTCCGAATGTTGTAAACACAGTACTACGATATAATGATAATATATATAAAGAGATCCTGTCAAAATTGCCGAATCGCCCTAACTCATGTTCTTACGTACCATAGGCAGGGATCCAAAGGCTTTTGATAGCAGTATAATGTCCTTCTTTGATCGTACTCGCACTCATCTTAAACCAAAACCATGCTTGACCAAGTACATCCAGTGTATATACCAACGACGATATATCGGTTATATTCACATGATTGGATGTATCGTTATCATAGCGATATACAAGTGTGTATCTTGTGATGATTCCATTATCATGTGATGGTTTATCCCACGTGACTTGTACACGTGGTATACGAGACTTGTCATTGGGTTGGATAAGCTTCGCTTTGTCGTTCAGGGGTACAGAGGGAGCTAAAATTACAAATATCAGTATTTTTAGTTTCATTATATTTTATAGTATTATATTTTATATTCTATATTTTGAACAATCATGTCAATTTTTTCCCACTGCTTCTCCACATAAGAAATGATTTTGAAGTTTGGGACAACTTACCATCTTGTAATGTCCTTCTGCTCATTGCGTAATTTGTTTAACTGTCTTTAACGGTATACGCAACAACCTTGAATGCCTCAATTTTTTCGCGTTACATAGATTTTCCGGACATTTTCGTATTTAAKATCAACAACTTATAATATCTAACTTGTATCTGAAGTATATAGTATAAGGCAAAAGAAATTTACTACATACCATCTTGTAATGTCGTTCTTGATATTGAGTCACTTGGCTTACTGTCCTTTACAGTATATGCAGCAACTTTGATTATGTATGTTGTATACTTCTGAAGATCTGTTATCACCTTTGAATGGACATCAGCACTAATATTGGCCATTTGTGTATTACGGACACTATGTTTCCTATATAAGACTTTGTAGCCTCTCAGAATTCCATTACTGCAATTGGTATTTGGCAGTGGGTGCCATGTCACTCGGATACTTGTGGAAGAGAGAACCTTGACTGATTTAAGTTTTGGAGGACAATCGGGAGCTGATCAAACAAAAATATTCAGGTAGCCCGTCCAAATAATTTCGTATGAGATTAGGTGTAATAATTTATCTTCCTCTTTTATGTTGATTTAATATCATTATTTTTAATTTTTTTTCAWCTGCAAAAATCTCTGAACTCCATTCCTGAAATTGTTATTTGTCAGAGGACTCCCCCCCACTCCCTTCCCCTACGCTTAAGTCTATCGTACAAGACGATATTATTTTTATTGACTTASTTAATTGAAAATAGGGTGATGTTACCGATGTGACCTATAAGAGGCAACGCAATACCAACATACCATCTTGAAGTGTCCTCCTGCTTATTTCGTTACTTGGCTTACTGTTCTTTACAGTATATGCGACTACTGTGAAAATGTATGTTGTATACTTCTGAAGATCACTTATCACCATTGAATTGACATCAGCACCAGTAACGTCCATTTGTGCATTGCGGACACCATATCTCCTATAAAAGACTTTGTAGTCTCTCAGAATTCCATTCCTGCAATTGGTATTTGGAAGTGGGTCCCATGTCACTCGGATACTTGTGGAAGACAGGGCCTCGACTGATTTAAGTTTTGGACGACAATCGGGGGCTAGAAGAACCAAATATGAAAAAAGATATAAAAATACAAAGTCTGAGGACAAGGCATTTATGTTTAAACTTAGCTAAAGAATTAGGTTTTTCATTGCACTGGGACTGATGTTAAATCAATGTTACACGAGGAAGACACATGATAGATATCTCAAGGTAGAAGAGGTAGAATTTGAATTTCCTATATTTTAGGTCGACTCCAAACTCGCTTAGAAGTTTTCGGCAGATCGCCTTTTCYTTGTCGCTTTCTTGGTATGAGCGAGGACTGTTCGCTTTTTTTTGGAAATATTCAAAAAAGAGTCTCTTTCCTGGCTACCATTTTGTTGGCAAGACATTGAGAGTCAGAGGAATGGCTTTTTGGTTGCGAATTCTCCTGAGGAAAGTTATGATCTACATGAAGACTGATAAAACAATGAAAAGGTTGTATGGCAATGACTTACCGCTATTCTTGTTGTTACGGTGTGGTAAAGGTTAAGTATCTATTAGACTCTGATGTACGCAAGTCCATAATCTGACTACTGGATTTAAACATTTCGAGAAGGAGTCGATTCAAGGGAATTTTGAGAGGAAGGTAATGTTTGAGTCGTTTCAGTTCGATGAGTCTTCATGATGTTTAAGTGTATGCAAAATTTATCTGCAATGGCGTTAGTTGCGTGCTTCTCATTTTATRACCTACCATTCAACTTGTATTCCTGGACAAAGGTCAGGATCACAAGCTAATCAGTGATTGGCTGAGTCAGCGGCTAATGTTAATGGACCATTTTTTCACGTTGCAAATTTTTCTCTAAACATTTTCGATTTTCCTGGCATTGCATATCAAGACCTTTTATTCTAACTTGCATCCAAGGTACATAGTARAAGACAGAGAACTTTACGCTTATTAAGAGAAATTATTTTTCCAAAACATACCATCTTGAAATGTCGTTCTTGTTATTATATTGCTTTGATTACTGTCTTTGACAGTATGCGCAACAATCGAGAATATGTAGGTCGTATACTTCTGAAGATCTTTTATCACCATTGAATGGATATGAGCACCAATATTGACCATTTGAGCATCATGGACACCATGTCTCCTATATACGACTTTGTATCCTCTCAGAATTCCATTCCTGCAAGTAGTATTTGGCAGTGGTTGCCATGTCGCACTGATACTTGTTGAAGACAGGACCTTGACTGATTTAAGTTTCGGACGACAATCAGGCGCTAAAAACCAGACAAAAAATATTTTCCAATATTTACAAAGACGTTTTATTGTTTATGGGTTTGTAAACGAGAAATCAAACAAAACATCAACAATAGTAATTACTGAATATAGTAAAGGATAAAGSGATTAGCCAGTTCAACACGTTAGACAATTTAACAAAACTATAGGTCATTTGTTGAAATGAGTTATGAACAAGAATATTCTATCGTACAAGATGGTATTATTGTACTGACTTGATGAATTTAAATGAAAAATAACGTACTGTGACCTATAAGAGTAAAGGTCCTACCAACATACCATCTTCTTTTGTCCTTTTGCTTATTGTGTTACTTGGCTCACTGTCTTTGACAGTATATGCGACTACCGAGAACAAGTACATTGTATACTTCTGAAGATCTGTTATCACCTTTGAATGGACATCAGCACTAATATTGGCCATTTGTGTATTACGGGTACCTTGTCTCCTATATAAGACTTTGTAGCCTCTCAGAATTCCATTCCTGCAATAGGTATTTGGAAGTGGTTCCCATGTCACTCGGATACTTGTGGAAGACAAGGCTTCTGTTGATTTCATTTTTGGAGAACAATCAGGCGCTAGAAAAAGAAAATATGTGAATAGCTTATATGAATTTAACACAAAATTGTGTCAAGAGTCTGACTAGTGTGTGTGGAGTTGCCTTAAGCCACGTGAGCTAMGGAAGAATGGAACACGGAAAATTCATTTTGACGAACGTCTTCAGTTTTTCCCTCTTTGTGCACTCAGTGAAGTGCCACTGGTCTGATATGGACCGRAAAAGAGAAGAAAAAATACTGCTTGCCACCAGTGCCCATTTTCCCTCTGTGTACTTTCCCCCTGAACATCCGCTAGAGATTTTTGTTCAACGACAAAAGTCAATTGTAAAGGAGACTACCTGTAAAAGTGTACGCAGAATGAAATCGAAATAGATTCAGCGCTTAAAGAAATTAACACTGTCGAAATTTTATGGTAGAGTCACTCAGCAGTTGTTATWGGGATGGACAGACTCAAACTTAAAACACCACGTCTAGCTATTGCCGCTACTGCGAAATGAAAATACTGCGCGCTGCCAAGTGCAAGTTTATATACAATAGATATCAAATACAAAATTAGGTTTCACTGGTCGCTGGAACACGTTAGGGTGTGCTTTAATATCATCGTTATGTTCTCTGAAAAGGATTTTCTTTTTAAAAATATRGAAAATCTTTATTTAGGCAGCCTGAAAAAAGATTCAAACGTCCTGTCACTCAAACTTTCCAAGGGATTAAAAAGCCTTCTGTATTCACGTATCTAGGCTAAATAGTCTTCTCGATCTACGGCGCAGAAACCCGGACTTGGACGCAAAAAGCTCAAAGAAGGGTGAACATAACATATATCAACCTTCTTTGCAATGTAGAATATTCTATCTATGCTATCAAGGGACTCAGATATCGAAATCGGTAAAGTAATCACAGAGACTGCACTGTGTGGAACGCTATTGTTATTGACAGCCTTTGATGACGAAGGATGATGATGATTTATTTATGAGTTATTCGAGTTTCAATACTATTTTTATCTCACTCAAAGGCATGCCTCTGGAGTGGTATCAGAATCTTAGTTAAGGAACCTAATCTACTTTCGCATATTTTTCTTAAGAAATGTTCTTGCGATCAGAAACATCTATCTTWATTTATTCATCTACTTCTATTTACCATCCTCATYTGTTSTTTCAGATACAATGCTGCTTTCKGGACCATAATATKTTGAATTCCAAATTGACACAGTTATYTTGTATGTCGTCCACTTCTTCAAGTTGGTCAGTACGGTTCTTCTGATGTTTGGAACTTGTTTTGTMTTTGTGTTTCCTAGGGCATCGGTGAATGTAATCCAAAAACCAGCCATAGGTCCGTTGACTTTGGCCGCACGCACCTAGAAAATATTGTTCTGAATTTGGAGAGAAGTTTGTTTTTCGAAAGAACACATGGCCAGAAATTCCGGACATTTTTGAGCCCTGGACGAGTCAGCGGGTTTTCCCACCAATAGAGCTTTCTACAAGTTCCCTTGTGGTTTGAACTTTTGAAGATCAAATTTTCTACTCTTGTGCAACGATCCTTTATCTTAATACAATACTGGGCTAAAATCGGAACTTTCAAAACACCGACAAACGAGTATTGGGATAGCACGCCCTGATCCTTGAGTTCATTAGTGGCTTGTYAGGTGCTCGTTTGGAATGTTCCATAGTATAAATAATATTATTTGCTGGAACACACGTTTTCCTCAGGGAACATACGTTTGCCTCAGGGTATTTTAAACAATGATCAGTTGATATTGTGATCTTTTGTTTATACTTGTACATTTKTAAGGAATTTAAAAGGTCTGACATTGTTTACACTAGACTTGATTTCGTTCGTATTTCCCGCTATCTGCGGTATTTACCAGTGCGCGCAAGGCGCCAGTAAAAATCTCCAAAATTAAAGCAGTCCCAGTCTGAAAGCCATGTTTCTAAGGTTTATTTTGGTACCAAACATGGATAATAATGGAAGATCAGGCCAAGTATTCGCGTGAAACACGCGTCTTCGCCAGCCATTTCAGCGTCAAGTTAGTGTTTTCAAATTGTACGATTTCTAGTACCAAAAAGGACGCTGTTGATCGTCTTCAAAATAGCTGAAAATCGCTGTGTTCCTACCTCAATATGTGGACTTTGAGAAATGATCTATGGAATATCAGTGACATGTAAAGGAAAACGATCAGCTACGGTGAAATTTCGCTTCTTCGCGAATTTTCACCATGAGATACAAGGCCAAAGGGAGACGAGGAAAGGAAAATAAATTGTTAAAAAGGACGCTGTTAACAATATTGGATTTATTTGGATTTCCTACAGTGGAATCAAGAATAGTTTACCTCTACGAATTCATCTATGGAATCTTTCCAGTTAAAATAGATGAAATGTTATTCTCAAATGTTTTTTTTTGATCCATACATTTCTTTGTAAAATTTACAAACATGTTTTTATGCATTTATGAGAAGTACCGCTGCGATTGCGGGCTCAAATATCCGGATTGTCTCGCCACGAGAAGAAACTTGTCGACAAGACAGATAAACCATGTGTTATTCAAACGAGCAAACAATTATAAAGAAAAACGAGAAACGAATGAATGATAAGCAACAGAGATGAACAAAAAAGGATGCAAGATGGCAAACCCGATACCTAAGCTAACATACCTCCCATMTTACTTTAATGCTTTTTGATGAATTTGCCGTTGCAAACACTATTGGTAGTCTTTCTGGTTCTAAAAGATATAGAGAAAACTTACTTTAAATGTACACTAGACAAGTTCAAGATGTTGACAGTGAAATCAGTGAAGTCTTTTAAGAYTTGTTTACATGAAAGGAGATGCCTTCTAAATTTATTGTTCTTCTTTCCCTGACGGTCAAAAAAGGAAAATGTACTGATAGTGGAATATTAAAAGGTCATAAAATAAGCCTTACTTGCTATCAGTGTAGCTGCAGTCTTAACGTCGCTCCACAYWCCCTCACCAACCACACTATTTGCTTTCATTTGAAGTGTGTAGTTAGTGTATGGTTTGAGTCCAGTAAATATATGCTGCGTCTGGTTAGATCMCACTTGTGTTTCTTTGTCATTCAACTTGATTGTGTACCCAACAATGGCGCCCACGTCATCTAATTGCACAGCAGGCGTCCAGTTTATCATTAATGATCTCTTCCTCGAAGTAATAGAAAATAACTGTTTTTCTGGAACATCTAGAAATAACGTAATAAAAATATTTTCATTTCTATTTGTTTTAAAGTATATAGCAGATTAAGCGATTATCTTTGGATGTTAAACTATGTGCTTTCTACTGTGACAACTATTCTGCTGCCTGTTATCTTTCTCATCTAAAATATCAGAAAAAGACATCGCAAAATTCAACATCGTTAAAGTATAGCACATGCACAGGTCAACTCATTTGATACTTTTGAACTGAAGTTCAAATCAAGCAATTTCTTCACTGTAACAAATATATATCAGCTTTTTCTTACTTAGGTTGACAGTTAGTTGAGTCGTTGCTTCAGCTGGAGCAACGCTCGGTACATCTACTGGWAGAGTAGCTCTACAGGTGTAGTTTATCTTACAGACCACAAGCCTCAAGTTGGGATCTCCTCTTTTGCATTTGTACGTAGATTTGATGTCCTGGGCTGAGATAAATTTCACCTTGAGAGTATTCTTTGTTGTCCCTGGGAGTTTTGTTGAACCATTACGAAACCATTGAAAAGTTGGCGATGTTTCGCCGATAACTGTGCATTTCAGTGTTTGAAAGCTTCCTTTAATGCTTGGCAATGTGATGCTATTGGTATTGAGCGCAGCTTTAAGTAATTTTACTGCAAGAAATATGTAACACTTTTATGTAACACTAAAAATTCTCAAAATTTAGTCAAGAAAAATGCAACAAATATCAAAAGTAACGAGATTGAAAAAACMTTATCTAATGATAATTGCATTTCATAATTATACAATAGGCCATACCAAAGTCACATCCATACASGTCAAGACGCAAGCAGTTGTCACCTTTGTTTTTCTGCGGAATTATTCTGACATAACGCGCTGCTATTGGTCGACCCAGCCAATTAACTATGACGTCATGTTTGTTAGTGTTCCCAATTAAAGCCTGACATCAAATATAAAAAAAGTCAAGGAACATTTCTTGAAAAAAAAACTTAGAAAAAAAACCTTGGACAGGACAAAAATATATCGTTATTGTTTTTATGACTTCAACTTATTACCTTTGTAACATCTTGTTCTGTATAATTAAGCCATAAGTCACTGTTAATAGAGTAAATAAGATTGTATGAAGTCACCCACTTGTCCTTCGATGGATACCCCTGTGTTGCTATTCCCGTGACAGTCTTCACTCGTCCCAGGTCAACCTGTATGTACTCGGCGTTCGAAGATGTTGCGCTGCACCATGCAGATTTGCCATACAGACGACCTCGTGATGCAACATGGGAACTGTCTTTTGACGACGACGACGTCATCTGAGGGTCTGAGATTCCTCTATTCTCGACACCAAGTGGGTTGGTACATACTATTTYCAAATAATAACATCTTTGGCTAGAATCTCATATTCAACCGTAAAGCAARGTTTTTTCTYATGTTTAGTTTGAAACTGTACCTTCTGGAGTTCCTTTAAAATCAACCCTTAAAGCTCTWTTCCATAACGATCCTTTAGGAASCACTCGAACAAACTTTGCTTTGAAGGGGTACTTGATGACATTAGTTACAATYGTTTCTTTGTCTGAGTTTCCTGGGAAAACCTGTTTTGTAATAATTATAACGATTYTGGTATGTTCAGAATGCCATTGTACATTGCGTTTATCCATATGTTTYCATATAAAAAACTKAATTTACATAGAATTAAAACTATTTTTATCCACTGAATGTTTGGGCAATGATTTCATCAAAAAACAAAACATCCAGAACAAATTACAAAAGCAAAATACACGCGAGGAAGTTTTATGACGTAGATGTAATTGTGATAGTTAGAGTCAATTTCGTATGAGTGGGAAACGGACGGTACTGTACTGTAACCGTAATCGTACTGTAACCAAATTCTAGTGTCTCTTTGGTTCACAAAAATTGTACAGACTAGGTCCGGTAACTGTGCGGTAACCGTGCGGTAATTTCTACCGTTATACGTTTCCCGCTCATACGAAATTGACTCTAGTATTGATCACTCTGATAAGTACAACTAGCTACTTCTTCTTTAGATTGAGAAGTTCCCTCTACCAGCGAGAATCTCACTTTCCTGACACTGGGTTCAAGCGCCGTTTGTGATTGTTTGTGATTGTACATATCTACACTTTTTATCACTCAAGAAGAATACTCCAGTTTCGAGTTCTATTTTGTGCAAGCTCAACTGCAATCAAGAATGAATATTTATTGTCTTCTTTGTACACAGACTGTTTGCATAACAATAGGATCTCTGCTGAATAAAAGAAGGCTGCACAAATAAGATCTCGAAACTGGAGTATTTTTAGATTTGTGCTACTCGGTCTCATAAGCGAAGCCGTTTTTTAAGTGAAAACATATATGGCACAAATCAAAGAATCCTTCTTCAATAAAATACCTTTTCTTTTCCATCCAGCTTTTTATACGTTTTCCACAATTTATTATCATCGGAGTATCGTAGTGAATACTTTGTGAACCAATGTCTGTGAGTGGGATCTCCCTGAGTCAATACGGCACATATACGGAATATTTTACCCAGATCAATCTCAAGGTATTGAGTACTCGCTTCAGCACTGAGTCCCCACGAAGAATAACCTTGTAATCGAGCCATGTACGGACGATAATATTGACCATAAGAGGTAGCTTTAAAGCGGTGGTTTGGTATGATTGATGCACTAGGAACACCAACACTGTGCTTTGAACACGCTGAAGAAATAAAAACTCATCATAATTAAAGCGTAATAAAATACAGACAAATACTTCCGTAAAAAAAATTGCAGCTGAACCGTAAATTAACTCTTTTTTAATTTTTTCAAAACTTTTCCGTTTTTGAACATTATTCAACATCCCACTCTTTAGGAAAATGCACTCTTTTTGAAACCAGGGACCTGATGTCTACACTAAGGAATCACTCAGCTTTGCAGGATATTTTAAAGTAAATGTTGAAAGTACGAAAATGATTGTTCCTTTTATAAACGCTTTAAAAATAAGGTGACTTCATATAATTCGTGGTTTTTCAGTAAAAGTTATACCAGTTTGCGGCCATTTCGGACTAATCGAAAATTTCATACTGTGAAGTTTCACAAAAAAATAGAGTTTATGCACTTTAACTAAAATATATTTAGTGACTCCGTTTTRACTCTATGRAGTCGCTGCGCATGCATAAATGCCTAGCATTTTATTAGCATTTAGACTTTCTTAATGTATTATTTCCRTATTTTCAATGTTCCCTTTCCCGAAACGCATTTTCCTAAACAAGCTACTCTGCAGAWCYTTTCGAGCAATAACAATTTTGGAGTCATATACACTTTGAATATTTAGCGGTTCCTAACTTAATGTAAGTTTACTTGATTCCAGTTGATAGCCATAAATCTCCATCCTCAA